ATTTGCTGTAATGGTAGCGTAGTTACCTACATGAGGACACTAAATTGGTACATCTAAGTCTCAAAAAATACCACCATGGTGGCTGTTCCAAGTTACTCTAAAAGTCAGAATGAAAATCAAAAATTCTAAGACAGGCAATGAAATTCATTACCTGTAAGGTATCTTGTGAAAACAGACCAAGGATATTTCAGATGAACGAGGCAATTAACAAAATTATACATGGAACAAAACACACTGATGAATACAAACAAAATTAAATTCAGTCCTATTTGTTGTTTGTGATGGGGACATTATTTTTGAACACTCCACTCATTTGCTTATATATTTCTAAAACACAAATTTGCAAGTAGCTAGAGGATGATGGATGTCTGAAGCAAACAAATTATTTTATTTAGTTGCTCAAGAAAGAATAAGAATTCATCACATCTGAATGAATATCTACAGTATATCTCCATATAGCAAGAGAAACAATATGTTTTTCCCTCATATTTTCTATGAAGCTGCTTTAAACTGCATTTTTATCAGCTGCTTTAAACTGCATTTTTATCAGTTATTTAAAAGTCCTGTTCTTGGATATAGGTTAGAACCTCTTGCATGCATGAGCAAGAACTTTTCCAGGTGCTTCAGAGCATTTATTATCCATATTTCAGAAAAGAAGAATCACAAAAATCTCTGAGTAGTACTCTTCAAAATATAAGACAAACTGGTATTTTAAAAATGCATAAAACCATGAGAATATTACAGTATATGGAAGTTGGATATGAAAGAAGGAAAATGTTTTAAACTTACCCTATTGACACTCCTATTTCTTAAAATAATTTGAATTAGATTTTTCTTAAATTCTTCCATCTTCTTGAAACACTTCTTCAAAACATGATTAGATAATTTAGTATCAGTTATCAAACTGATCAGAACACAAACTCCTTCAGAAAGGAAACCTGGAGCTGGGAACTTGGGACTGTTGTAAAAAACAGTCAGTCCATCAAGCAACTGAGACACTGAATTGCATATGGTAAAAGAATCATTCTCAAGCTGTGAAAAGTCTGCTTGAAGACTTCCTCCTTCTGACAGTTTTCTTATTTCAAGCAAGCATTGCAAAAAATGCACTGGAGCAGTCAGAGATTGCTCCTTGCTAGTATGGAAAAGATGCAGTGGGGGAACTCTTTCCAACCAATGTTTGCTGACATTATGCTCAGATTGGTGAAAATCTGAAGCTATGCCTAAAGAATCAAATGCAGAGTCATTACAGACATCACATCCAGAGTCTTCTAGCTGGCTTGAGTAACTTGTAGGGTTTATATGTTCCTGACCCAGAAGAGTTTCAGCAGAGGTATCCTGTTTTCCTGAAATGCAAACATGAAAATTATATTTGTGTGATGCTTAAATACATGCTTATTTAAAGTGCCACATGTACTTTCTCCTTTTTGCTTCCATGCAAAAATCATGTAATACCTGTGTATGTTTGCTCCCCAAGATCTTCCCATGACTAGAATTTAGCTGTGGAAGAAGGTCTTTTTAAATTAAAGCCAAAATTTTCACAGGTTAATGTCTATTTGTGAACAAGATGTTTTACACTCACAGTAATATGAATAGTAATTTTAAACTGTCAGAAATCTTAAGTTTTCATATATATAATTTAAGTAAACATAAACCAAACAATTTAAGTGAACATCTATATTCCCATTAATTTCCAGGGAAGAAAATGCATGTAAATTTCTGGTCCTCCAAACATTTTCGCTGCTTTTATTCTCAAAAAGTCAGACTGCTTTTAAAAGGCAGTGAAAATCTGTTACTGTAACTGCATCAAATAAAATATTCTTCTTTATGTGTACTCTCTCTCCCCAGTCAGGAAAGAAATTCTAACAACAGTCAAAGTTGAACAGAACATTAGGTTTGATTTTTTCATTATTTAACAAAGAGGAACATTCAGAATCAAAAGCTTCTTCAGTCATCACCTATCTCATACCATCTCCTTCAAAGACACACAAACTACATTACAAGAGGTATACAATACATTCACACCAATAAGTTACTTCTGTGTGCTACTGTAGAATC